AATTCCATTGAGATCCCCAAAATCCCCAAATTTCCCCTAAAATTCCATTGAGATCCTCAAAATCCCCAAATTTCCCTAAAATTCCATTGAGATCCCCAAAATCCCCAAATTTCCCCTAAAATTCCCTTGAGATCCCCCAAATCCCCAAATTTCCCCTAAAATTCCATTGAGTCCCCCCAAATCTCCAAATTTCCCCTAAAATTCCCTTGAGATCCCCAAATTTCCCCTAAAATTCCATTGAGTCCCCCAGAATCCACAAAGTTCCCACCAAAATTCTCTTGAGAGCCCCAAAATCCCCAAATTTCCCCTAAAATCCTTTGGGACCCCCAAAATCACCAAATTTCCCCTTAAATCTTATGGGATTCCCCCAAAACCCCAAATTTCCCACCAAAATTCCCTCAGGACCCCCCAAAACCCCAAATTTATCCTAAAATTCCCTTGGGACCCCCAAATTTTCTTTCATGGCCCCAAATTTCCCCCCAAATCTTATGGGACCCCCCCAAAATCCCCGCAGGACCCCCTAAAACCACCCCAAAATTCCCTCAGAGCCCCCCAAAATCCTCCCTAAAATTCCTCCCAAAATTCTCCTGGGAACCCCAAATTTCCCCCCAGAATTCCCTTGAGTCCCACAAAATCCCCAAATTTCCCCTAAAATTCCCTTGGGACCACCCAAAATCCCCAAATTTCCTTCTGGACCCCCAAAATCCCCAAATTTCCCCCCAGAATTCCCTTGAGTCCCCCAAAATCCCCAAATTTCCCCTAAAATTCCCTCTGGACCCCCAAAATCTCCAAATTTCCCCTCAAAATCCCCTGGGATTCCCCCAAAATTCCCTTGGGACCCCCAAAATTCCCAAGTTCCCCTTCAAATCTGCCCCCAAAATTCCCTCAGAACCCCCTAAAATTTCCCAAACCCCAAAATTCCCTCGGGACCCCCCAAAATCCTCCCTAAAATTCCCCCAAAATTCGCCCCGAGCTCCCCCAGATGTCGCCAGGGGTTTTTTTATTTCGATTTTTTGGGGGATTTTTTTGGGGTTTTTTTGGGATTTTCTTTCTCCCCTCCCCCCGCCCCCCTCCCAGCCCCTCCCCCGGCCCCAAAATCGTCGGATTTGAGCCCAAATTCGGGCTCAGGGCAGGGGGGGGTCGGTGGCGGCCCCGGTGGAGTCCTGGGGCTTCATCACGTCCGGCAGCTCCGGGGGGCTGGAGAAGGGCTCGATGCGCAGCCCCTCGAAGGACTCCTCTG